CCTAACCCTAACCCTAACCCTAACCCTAACCCTAACCCTAACCCTAACCCTAACCCTAACCCTAACCCTAACCCTAACCCTAACCCTAACCCTAACCCTAACCCTAACCCTAACCCTAACCCTAACCCTAACCCTAACCCTAACCCTAACCCTAACCCTAACCCTAACCCTAACCCTAACCCTAACCCTAACCCTAACCCTAACCCTAACCCTAACCCTAACCCTAACCCTAACCCTAACCCTAACCCTAACCCTAACCCTAACCCTAACCCTAACCCTAACCCTAACCCTAACCCTAACCCTAACCCTAACCCTAACCCTAACCCTAACCCTAACCCTAACCCTAACCCTAACCCTAACCCTAACCCTAACCCTAACCCTAACCCTAACCCTAACCCTAACCCTAACCCTAACCCTAACCCTAACCCTAACCCTAACCCTAACCCTAACCCTAACCCTAACCCTAACCCTAACCTAACCCTAACCCTAACCCTAACCCTAACCCTAACCCTAACCCTAACCCTAACCCTAACCCTAACCCTAACCCTAAACCCTAACCCTAAGACCGGTCGACTTGGCGCCGAGCTTCTTGGCCAACCTGGCGACGTGGAAGGCACTCCCTGGAATAGTAGACATTATACCAGACGTAGCCATGTTGGTTGATATCTCATTGATGGCATTGACGGTTTTATCATCTTCCTCGTCGACCAGCAGGGCATACTTGATCGCACCGCGTACTCTCTTTCTGTCGAGGGGGTTTGGCAAAACGGGGAAGCTTCTGGGGTTGCCATTTGTGCACTCGTCGTCGTCGGTCGTGTTGAACTCGTTGTTTGTGCAGTTTATATCAGCGGTGGTTCGCCTGAGCCATATCCACGGCACACCTCTCTCGCCAGAAATGCCCTTTATGGTTGGTTGCGCATAGAGCTTTCTCACTTGGGCGCCATGCCAATCAAAGCGTACGGCATCGTAAAAGATGCGGCCTGAAAGGGTATTGTTGTTGTAGCGGTTTTCCTCTTCGCTATCACTGTCAGTGTCGCTATCGCTATTGGTGCCGCTATTGCTGCCAGTATCGTCGATATATTCGTTGTTGTTGCTTTCGTCTTGATCCAGTTTGGTGTTGCAGCCAGTGTTGTGATAACCGACGCAGTTGTTCTCGGCGCTAATAAGGGTTGGGAGCGTACTGTGTCCGCGAAATCGTTGATGACCTTCATGCCAGCACCGTCGACCACCTGCTCCGATCGGACCAACTTGATGTAGTCACAGATCTCTTCGATGACCTCAGCAGCGCTGTTTTGGCGGATACCGCCATGGCGG